GTCTTCCTGGAACAGGCTGTCTTGTGAATAGGTTGAGTCTTGGGATGGATGAGTTGGACAGTTTTGCCTTCCCCCCCATTCCAATCTTTCAAATCTGCCTGATTTATAAAGAAATGTGAGAGTTTATTGTGGGAGAGGTGGGAATCAGATGGAATTCTCATCTGTTGGCTCTACCTATTTCCAGGCTAAATGAGCTGCCCATCGATGCAGTTCGAGTCCAAGAGGTAAATGGAAGACCAGCGCAGAAAGAAAACCAACTGCCCTGCTTCTGACCAGGAAGGGAAGGAGGAGAAGACAAATGGGTCGTGTTATTACTTTTGTCATTTTTATGAAGTTGCTTCCAATTTACGGAGACCCTATGAGTTAATGACCTCCAAAAAAAGTTTTGGTTTCCTCTACACCTTCTTTCTTTTCCTCTACAAGTAGGCAACTTTTTGACTGCAGACCTAAAGATCTGCAACTCACGCTGGTGCTCTTTGCTAACTTGATGTAACCCACATTTGTTACCTATGTATGGCATTGGTCCCCAGCCTTGGGCCTCCAGATGTTCTTGGACAACAACTCCCAGAAATCCTGATCTACAGAGGTGGTGGTGAAGGCTTCTGGGAGTTGTAGTTCAATAACATCTGGAGGCCCAAGGTTGAGGACCATTGCATTAAGCAACACACTCACTTGGTTGTATGTCTAATGCAGGCACCAGAGGGCAGTAGAGATCAGGTGTTGTTCTCCCCTAACCTGCGCCAGGTGAGCATACCCACCTCCCTAAGTGCCTGATGCTCATGGATGTAGTCTTTCTGATGTATGAGCCAGTATTATTCATTTATTTAAAGCCTTTTGACTTCAGTTACTATCCCCAAAGGCTCCCAAAATACATCATAGAGCAAACAAGTTTTAAAAAAAGGCACCATTCCCTACCTTTGGGCTTCAAGTCTCAAAACAGGTACGACACAAAAGGCGCAAGAGACGTGGAGGGAAAAGGAAAACTGAAGAGCAAGGGATTCCATTCTTTAAAGTTTAACGAAGGGTCACTACAATATCTTTAAGTGACATGGTGTGACTTCAGATGGCGAAGGACTGGAACAGAAAACGTTCCAAGAGAAGAGCTGAAGATGGGTGATGATCTTTTCAACCAGTACAACTGGCAGGTTCACTCCCTTGGAGAATATTTGTAGACCTCCCTCCACCAACTGGACACCATCCTAACAAGCTGAACTTCAGGTCTCATCATCCCCATCATCCAGGCTCTCATCCAGAGATCATCCCCAGATCTTTTGGCTACAATCCTACCCTCTGCTTATTTTCTGAGGAAGTCAGGTGTCAACGTCTACCCTCCTGTGGGCCAGGTTGAGCTGATGGGACTTGTAGTGCGAGACCCTGAGAGGACGTCGGAAGGAAAGCTCAGCATTCCATCATCCCCCAGGAGTCCTGGCTGGCATTATTATGCTTGCGTGATAGATGGGAAGCTGGCTGGAGAGCTCAGTGGATTAGGTCTCTGGTTGTGAGTTCGATCCCCCACTGTGCCTCCTGCCAGTACAGCCAGCCTGGGTAGCCTTGGGCCAGCTGCATGGGCCCCAGGGCTCCCCCTAGAGGAAGGGAATGGTAAAACACTTCTGAATATTGTCTACCAGGAAAAACCTGGAAAGGGTAGTCATAAGTCAGAATGGACTTGACAGCACACAATGTTGTTGTTGATGATGATGATAGGTTGGGAGGTGGAATCGGGGTGGAGACCATCAAAAAACAGCTTCATCAGGTTAACGTGATGGGTGTTCACCTGCATCCTGACTGTGCCAAAGATGTCCACTAAAAGCACAGGATGACAAGATGTGGGAAACCACCCAATCTCTCCCCGTCCCGTTCAGTTTTCCTTGGAGAAGGAGTCTGGAAATCAGGCCAGCCCGGGCTTGCTGGGGAAGCTGCGGAGGAGGTGGAGAGGTGGTTCGTCAATCATTTGCGACAGTCCACGCTATTGTTTTGATCTGGGGCACTAATAACAAGACCAGGGAAGGGAATCAGGATTAGATGGGTTTGGCCAACGCCAGTCCTTTGGGAAACTGACAGCCTGGCAGTTGTCAAGTTGCCTCGTTGCTCTCCAGGCCTTGCTTCCTGGATGAAGGAGTTGTCGAAATGGGCAAAACTCCAGCAAGGAAGGGCAACACCCAAGCCGGTGTTGGCAACCTCCCAGTTGAGAAGCTTGTTGGTTCATCTGGAGCAGGGCTCCCAACCTTGAGTCTTTGGGTGTTCTTGGACTGCGACTCCCAGAAACCCTGGCCGGCGCAGCTGGTGGTGAAGGTTTCTGGGAGTTTTAGTCCAAGAACATCTGGAGACCCCAAGGTTGGGAACCATTGATTTAGTTGAAGATTTGTCTAGGGATCTGGGGTAAGCTGTGGTTGGAGTCCACCCATCTCTCTTGGCCAATGGGAGAGGTGGCCCCACCACATCTGTTGCGCTGAATGTTGCCACGTTGAGATGAATCAATGGCATAATCAATGGGCCATTGACTACTGCTTGCCCATCCTAGTACACTCAAGTCTTAGTCAATCAAAGCTAGGTGATAAACCATTCCTACTAAGAGCAGCTCTTTGGGTTTTCAGATGAATTCTTTCCAAGCCCTACCTAGAGAGGACAGGAATTGAAACCAAGATGTTTTGTAGGTGAAGCACAGTTACTGTCCTTGACTCTACTCCCAGGAGTCACTGTGGGGGAATCGAACTCCAACGCTCCGGACCCACAGCCAGAGACCTAACTCACTGTGCTATCCAGCCAGCTCTAGGAATGAATAATTGGAGGTAGGTCTTTATTTTTAATTTTTAAAACACTCTCTTTCACTTTTTCCTCCAAGATATCGCCCAACCCAAAGAAGAGACACACAAGGTATGAAAAGTGATTCACAGCATTTTAGTTCAAAACAATCAATGCAAGTTTGCTACGATTCATTCTTTCATTCACTCCTGTTTACTTGTTTGAAATCGGGGCGAAGGGGAAAGGGAAATAAATTTGGGGCTGAAATCCAGGTGGAAGTCGCCATGAGAGTAGGCCCATTGGATTGATGGAATTTGAAGAATTGGCTTACCAAATCCCTGTAGATTTGGTAATACTCTCGCCGCAATTCACTGCTGGATTTCAACCTTAAAGTTACATCGGAAATGATAAAAGCTGGCGCCCGTATTGTCGTTACATAGGGTGCCAGTCTCCTCTCGTATACACAAACACTCTGAAATAAATTACAGTCAAAATGTTCATATTACAACATATTAGAACCTGCCGATTTGTAGGTTGTTTTTCTTTTTGTGTACAACCATCAAGGCACAAAAGCTTACTGTATATTGCACACGCCACGATCACCTTCTTGCCTGAAGGGAGCCTAATAAGGATGGGAGTTTTGGATTTTTCTGGACTGCAGATGCCACCGTTCTTCATTCTATGAGTTCTACTCGACTTACATACACCTTATAGACACCTACCCGTATTTTTTGCTCCATAAGACGCACCTTTCCATAAGACACACCAATTTTTTAGGAGAAGAAAACAGGAAAATATAATCTGTTTTCTTCGCTCCATAAGACACACAGACTTTCCATCCCCTGTTTTGTGGGGAAAAAGTGCGTCTTATAGTGCGAAAAATACGGTAAGTGTGGCTCGCCTGGGACACTAGGCCTAAATTGGAAGGCTTTCAGGTTGAGCTCGGCCTAGCTCCACCCAAGCTTCCTGTTTCCGCCCCAGTGCTAGCTGGGAGCCTTTCTTTCTGAGCAGGAAGCTTGGGAGGAGCTAGGCCTAGCTCAACCTGCCTTCCCAATTTTAGCCTTACCAATTTTTAAAACCAAATTTTAAAACCAAGTTTTAGCCGTACAAATTTCAGCCTTCGTAGGGTGCTTCTTAGGTAGACAGAACAGCCAGAATGGAGAATTATGATATTAGTAGGCTCGGAAGTCCAAAAATTCCACCCCTAGGCTCTGAGGTATGAGCATAAGGAATCTAAAGGAAACTACTAGATTTCACAGTCTTTTGACATCAAGTCTGTTTCCTTCCTCTTGCTCCCGTTTTGTTCTTTTGTCTCTCCTGCTTGGGAAAGTCCACGAACTTTACAGCTTAAAAAAGGAACAACACACACATCCTTGAAAGACACCGTCCTTGCTGTGGGTTTTATGTGTGAAAGAGAACCAGTTTCTTTTGGCTCTCAAATAAATGAGGCATCTTGGACGTTATCAATTAGTGCGGTCAAGTGTTATCTCTTTTTTTTCCTGGGATCTCAGAAAGAACATATGCTCATAAAATATCTGCCCCGAGATATTTTTTTTTGTACATGTGCAAGTGGTTTAACATTTAACCTGGGACCATCTGTGAAATGTTGACGATCCAATCTGTTTGCGCAGGGATACCCAGTTGAATCTGGTTTCTTCTGGAGCGTCTGGGTAGAAAGCTAAGATCAATTTCCCCCTCTTCTTAAATGGGAACTGGACAACCACAACACTCCACACATAACACAAGAGGGGGGAGGAAGTAGATGTCTCAAGGGGACACAGTTCAAGAGTCTTGAAAGGAAAGTACATGACTGGCATTGGCCAATCAGTGCTGTGCAATATGCCATTGAGATATATCGATCCAGCCACAGTGTAAATACTGCAAGGAGAAGTCATTTCTAGAAACTAAACCATTCATATTGGATGTAAGGCTACACAAAGGAGGTAGATACAAGTTTGATGTCCATGACCCTACTCAGGTTTTTTTTTGAAACCCCCCTTCTCATAGGTTGGTGGACACCATCTTGGTTGCCACAGGAGACGAAGTCTGAAAGTAAACAACTGAGCGAAAAATAACAGGCTCTGACTCCCCATTAGACATCAGTCCTGTTGCATTTCTGGTTCCTCTGACCCGGTCAGAGGTCACAGCTTCGTCTTCTGGCCACAAAGTCTCCCGAGTGGGGCCAGTCTCAGGAATTCTGGACGGTGAGGTTATGAAGGCAGGTCCGGCAGTTCTTCACAACCTCCTTTTAGATACCCTTAGCTATTTGGACCCTTGTCCACACAGTGTTCATTTTTCTGCTTGAATCCATGAAGCACGACGCCCGAGTACAGTTCCGGCACCTCGTGCTTGCTATATTTCGTGCAAGACAGAGGCCCATCCTTTGGACAGGTGGAGGCGCTGTCGTCCTCCAGCGTCATGGCGGTGATGGGCACCGAGGTCTTCTCTTCACCGTGGTTGGTCACCATGCCTTCTTCCACGGACCGGTAGTTCTCCAGCGTCAAACTCGCCCTCGGGGTCTTCGGAGGGCGAGTCAGTTTGTGGGTCTTGGCCGTCAGCCGCCGGTAGAAGAAGATGAGGGTTAAGATGGCGGCGTCCACCACGAATTCAAACAGCTCGACCACGGATAACACAGAAGATCCGAACCATAAACTCCATTGGCTTCCCATGCTGGACATTGCCAATGTCACCTAAACGCAAAGACAGACAAGAAGGTTAGTTGCCGATGCTGGTTCTTGTCTGGCATTTTTAATTTAGTTTTTTTTAAACCCTTGCACACTGTAGGGATTTTAGTCTGAGTCAAAACCAGAGAAAGCCCCGACTCACGGTGTACTCTGGAGATTCGTCCCAGGACTGATAGTCAAGCTTCTCGAAGTAAACATTGACCATGGCGAGGTCTTCTCTGGAAGAGAGGAAAACAGGTGGAAAGGTGAGCCAAAACTCATCACAGTTTGCCTTCTCCCTCTTAAGCATTTTGGTCTATTGAGGAATCCATTGGTGGGGCTGTTGATTCCAATGTCTCTCGCGGATGCTGGAAAAACGTGGAAGTATGAGACGCTATAAATGGCATGGTTACTGGCTCCCTCTAGTGGCCAGTTCTGGCAAACACACCCAGGAAATATAAACGGGCCATGGTTACTGGCTCCCTCTAGTGGCCAGTTCTGGCAAGCACACCCAGGAAATATAAACGGGTATTTCTGGGTGGGTGGGGGAGGATTCATTTTGTATTTTCAGCCCGTGGATAAGTTAATCAGTGGATACTGATCCCATGGAAAAGGGGTCCTGCTGTATGTATTTTTCAGCTGTGTGCCTTTCAATATTTAAAAACTACACCTTTGACCTCCTTTTTCCAGCCTCGATTTTTATTCTAAACTACACAAAGACAATTCTTACTGGGTGTTTTGATTTTGATGCTACAGATAGATGTAACCCAGTGTGTTGTAATGAATAGAAAAAAGGAGAGAGAGAAAAAATCAAGTTAATCAGTGGATACTGATCCCGTGGAAAAGGGGTCCTGCTGTCTGTATTTTTCAGCTGTGTGCCTTTCAACATTTAAAAACTGCACCTTTGAACCTCTTTTTTCCAGCCTTGATTTTTATTCTAAATGACACAAAGACATTTCTTACTGGGTGTTTTGTTTTTGGTGCTACAGATAGATGTAACCCGGTGTAGTGTAATGAATAGAAAAAAGGAGAGAGAAAAAAAATCCCCCCAACGGTATTGTGACTCACCTGTTGCTACTTTTGTTATAATTGTTCTGGGCTTGCAATGCTCTATGGATCCAATCCTGAAATATGGAGGAGATCGCATGAATTTCAGAGGTGTAGAAAGTATTACAAGAATATCCTAAAATAAGGTCCTGTGGTTCTGTTTGGATTGGCACTCAGATCTTCTGAATAGTGATAGACTCTAGCTAGCGCAGCCGGAGGGGATAATGGGATCTGTAGTTCAGCAAGATTCAGAAGGCCACCAGTGTATCTCTCCAGCTTGACAGGGTTCTAGGTTCGTCAACTTCAAGCTGTTCTAGGGCCATTTCTGCGAAACCCCATTTGGGGATGTTGAACCTCCCAGCTAGAACGTCAAACGGCAGTTTTAAAAAGTAACTTTTCCAAGCTTTGGGGTCACACTGTTCCTGTTCCTTTGCTCCGAAATGCTTCCCTACCCATGGGTACATTTTGCCACACCCACGTGGTTCTGTCTACACTTCCTTCGACAACTCCTGTGAGTTTTGTAGAGTGTGAGTATGGTGATTTTTGTAGATCAGTCACAAAGTCTTACTTTACCTTAGATTTGGTCGATGGCCATTTGGCATACCCGGCTGAAAGTGTGTATCGGGATTCCCTGCCAGGAAACAAACCAACAGGACGATGAGCTGTGAATTCTGCACTTAAAATCCAGCACACACCTAGTCATATGGTCAGTATGCTTCAAAGGAAATGGTTTTAATTCCATTGGCCTTGCCTAGGAATCTGCCACTTGCCACCTCTCCTTCTTTGCCCCAAGAAAAGGTGGAATTTTCTTTCTCTTAAACCATTTTTTCTTCAAGCACTTGACATGTTTAAGGTACACGTGTATGTCTGTCTGTGTGTGTATGTCTCATTTTTGTGCAAGACTGGAGAAAAACAGGATCTGTGGGGATGGGAGAGGAAGTTACTGACATTGGCCAGTCAGTGCTGTGCATTGCTGGTTTCTACAGCAAGCCAGTGGAACTCGGTCCAGCAGGTCAGGCTGTCTCTGTGATGAAACTGGAGAGGCACTGTTCTATAGTAGCCTGGACCTTAATAGCTATGTATTTGCTTGGAGGATATGTAATTTGGCATGTGATGAAGAAAGGAGAGATATATTCAATGGGCCAGTCGAGAAACACAGGTCTCAAAATCGAACTAGGTTCAACTTGCACCCCGTTCAAACGATAGAGATTTTTTTCCTACTCACTTGCATAGTTTGGGGCACTTATCGAAACAGATGTGTTTGTGGTGGGCAAGTTGTTTGTACAGTTGGTAGAAGCAATGACCTGGGGGTAAAGAACAGAACACGGTCAATAGGAGGCAGCCGTTACAGAGGGAAAAGTCCCTGAAAATGTTTGTTCAGCTGACATTAGTGGAGTCTGGGGGCTCTGTCGGGGTGTCCATTCCATTGAAGCTGATCTTCATTGCAGCTGAATCTGCTTCTTCAAATGGGCTCCTTTAAAGTTCAGAGTAAAACCAGGAGAGGGTTTACTGCCCCCAATGACATTGGCATCACCAGACTCCACGGGCAAACACCTATCATTCCAAAGTTTATCAAGACACCCAGATTAAATGGACGTGTACATCTGTCACTCTGTCTTCCACTTACCCCAGGCAGGATGCTTGTTATAATTGCAGTATTCAGCCCCAGAAGGTAATGGGTAGTAGAAATATCCACAGTGGCACTTTTCAATCATCTGGTGCTGGAAACATAAATGCAAACATGCCTGTGGAGGTGGAAACGAGATAGGAAGAGAACCAAAGAGGACATCCAATGAGTTTTTATTGATTCGGTGGACCCCATCTCACCTTAAGGATCAGCTAGTAGGTGTAAGCTTTTCAGATTTTGTGGACTACTGCACTTAGAATCCCCTGGATGCATGCATGAGGGCTTTAATTTAAAAAAACCCCAAGTCCTGACATGTTTTCAAGTTTTTAAGCTAACGAACCCAGGCCCCAGCAGCCATTTTCATCCTGTGGAGAAGATAGGGGAAATGGGTAGATTGGGTTCAGCTCTGTGAGCTGCAAGGGCTTACAGGTGTGGTAATCTCTGCCTAACAAAAAAAAAAAATCTATCTGAGCCATAATCTTTTGCAGTTCCCACAAAACTGAGCTCCACCCATTAAACCCAGGCCCCAGCAGCCATTTTCATCCTGTGGAGAAGATAGGGGAAATGGGTAGATTGGGTTCAGCTCTGTATGAGCTGCAAGGTCTTACAGGTGTGGTAGTCTCGGCCTACCAAAAAAAATCTACGTGAGACATAATCTTTTGCAGCTCCCACAAAACTGAGCTCCACCCATCCATTTCTCCTGTCCTCTGCCACAGGTCCAAAATCACAACCAGAGGTGGAATTCATAGAATCATAGAAAAGTGAAATTGGAAGGGGCCTAACGAGGTCATCAAATCCAACCCCCTGCTCGATGCAGGAATACAATCAAAGCATATCTGCCAGGTGATTATCCAAGTTTTTCTTGAATGCCTTCAGTGTTGGAGCACTCCCCAGTCTCTTTGGGGGCGTGGGTTCGTATCCCACCGCTGCCACCATGTAAGCCTCAGCATTCTCTTAGGAGAGCTGAGAGCTTACATCCCCAACTCCCTTGGTAACTGGTTCCACTGTTGTACTGCTCTAGCAGTATTCATTAGCTTCATTAGCTTAAGTACATGAAAATATTTGTCAGGATTTTAATGGCTTGAGAAATTCCTGCAGACTTCTGGGGCAGTAATCCACAGATTCAGGCAATCTCATGCTACCAACTAGCAGGATGGAAGGAAGAGAGCTTCATGAGGGTGAATTTCACACCCCAAGCAGAATTAACCAGCCAGACCTTTGTCCATGAGTCCAGGGGGTTGTGAATATCAGAAATAGGAGCAGGCCAGGATCGCAGCATTAAAATGTGAACAATGCAAAGCTTCCCTTCTGTGTCAAGTATACCTGCATTGTATATTTGCTCTTGTAGATGAGTGGGACGCTCACGTCCTTTCCTTCCTCCATACAATATCCATAATTTCCACCTAAGCGATTCACTTCATCCTATGGATTAAAAGAGATCAACAATGTATTTGCTACAGTATTGTATGAGGCAAAGCCCAAATTAGAAAAGCCTGCATGCAAAAATATGTATGTGAGAGGAAATTGACCCAGCGCCTAAAGTCCTGTATTAAGAAAGTTAAAAAATAGGAATATTCAGACAGTTGTAATAATATTGATTAGGAAAAAACTGCTTGTCCTCCTCCTATACTAAGAGAAACGGATTTTAAAAATACCCATAAATTGAGTGCGAGGATTTTAATGGCTTGAGAAATTCCTGCAGACTTCTGGGGCAGTAATCCACAGATTCAGGCAATCTCATGCTACCAACTAGCAGGATGGAAGGAAGAGAGCTTCATGAGGGTGAATTTCACACCCCAAGCAGAATTAACCAGCCAGACCTTTGTCCATGAGTCCAGGGGGTTGTGAATATCAGAAATAGGAGCAGGCCAGGATCGCAGCATTAAAATGTGAACAATGCAAAGCTTCCCTTCTGTGTCAAGTATACCTGCATTGTATATTTGCTCTTGTAGATGAGTGGGACGCTCACGTCCTTTCCTTCCTCCATACAATATCCATAATTTCCACCTAAGCGATTCACTTCATCCTATGGATTAAAAGAGATCAACAATGTATTTGCTACAGTATTGTATGAGGCAAAGCCCAAATTAGAAAAGCCTGCATGCAAAAATATGTATGTGAGAGGAAATTGACCCAGCGCCTAAAGTCCTGTATTAAGAAAGTTAAAAAATAGGAATATTCAGACAGTTGTAATAATGAAAATAAGGCCTCCCTGTTTTCCATTTCTGATTAGGAAAAAACTGCTTGTCCTTCTCCTACGCTAAGAGAAACGGATTTGAAAAATACCCATGGAAATGAGTGCAGAGATTTCCGAATTTTGGGAAAGTGATCAGCCGACCAAACAGATTGAATGAAAAGAAGAGCATTTCTCACCCACGCAACAGGTTTCAATGCATTCCAATGGGGAAATGCTTTTTGCTAGAGAATGATTTTGCTAAACAGTGATTTCAGTGGAACGGATTATCATCGTCTAGCGAGGCATCACTGTAAGGACATTTCTCACCCATATCATCCCTGGAAACTCAGAAGCAGCATTTCAAAAAACCTCAAAAGATTTTAAGAATTCAGCCCAAAAGGTAAGTAGATAGAAACAAAACAACATTGGGGCTGTATATTTGGAATTTCAGGACGTAATGCCTACCTGTTTGATTCCGATGGTGCTCTCGACCCCCGGCTGGATATCAAACCCTTCGTGTTCCAAGAAGGGTGATTGATTGTGGTTATGAATCATCACCTTCACGCCGGCCACAGTGGACAAGAGAGGGATGTGGTCTTTCTGCTCCACTTTCAAGATCAGCGACAGACCTGGGGTTGGAGGGTAGAGAACGGAAATCCATTTCAACGTTGGAGTCCGAGGACAAATGGGAAGCAAGATCATTGCTAAGACCCCCCCCCTTCCTGCACAATGCCTTGAGCGTTGACTCGTAGGGCTTCCCAACCTTGGGAGGCTTCCGGGAGTTCTAGTCCAAGAACATCTGGGAGGACCCCAAGGTTGGGAATTGCTGCTCACTTAAGGGAGACCCTAGAACTGGAAGATCATCTTACATCAAAGTAGGTTGCTTTCATCCTGCATCTTGCAACTGTGAATGTCACGCCTGGTTTCAGTTTTGGAAAGCTCTCCTTTTGCCTGGAGAAGAACTACTGATTGATCCTGTTGGGGGGACTGGACGGTGTTTCCCTTCCTCTTATATATGTTATTACAACGCACTGCCAGCCTCCAGATGTTCAGGTCTGGGTCCTTCTCTCAACTCCCATCTAGAAAATTCTGGGTCTCCTGCCAGCTTGTAAATTTATCACCTTGGTTTCAGTTGTTGTTTCTTTTAAAGCAGTGTTACTATAGTTGTGAGATTCCCTTGCTACAAAAAAAACAAACCCACAGTACACTTTCCACTTCTTTTATATCTCTTCTTTAAAAAGTCTCTTTCTCGCATTTTGATTTCCTGCTGGCTGTTTCCTTTTGTAGCTGCCTGGAAGGTTGAAATTTCTCTTTTATAGTTTGTGTGCCTCTTCCTTTTCCCGGCGTCTTTTATTTTATGGCGCCTTTTCAGAATTCTCTCTCTTTTTTAAAAAATGGCGTCTCCCGGGGTTGTGAAAAGCACCACACAAAAAAGCATTATACTGTGTTGTGGTTGTCGCAGCACTTCTAAAAGCAAAAAAACCCCTAAGTGTGTGTGGTTCTGAGCCACTGCGCACTGAGGTATGTTAGAACGCCAGCAATATATATATATTACAGAAATACGCCAGCCTTCTCCTATAACCCAGGGAAAAGTTGTTTCTGAAAGAGGGTGCGAACCTCAGAAAGAAATAAGGTTCATAATTAAGTAACTATTATAGAAATGGTTGGTTCTGACGCTATTCATGCAACTTGTTCATTTCCTCCATTTACGCGTCCGGTCGTACCGTAAGGAATCCCAGGCTTGGAAGCTCTCCAGAATTCATCTGTGCCGTTCTTGTTATAAGTGTAACAGCTCCCGTAGATGGGGTGGTGGAAATGCTCAGAATCACTGAGAATGGAAAGGGAAGAAAAAGATCAGGAGAGGTTGAAATGAAATATAAACATTTTTGATTGACGTGTCCTCATAATATAATATATATTATAGAACGGTGGGGTTGGAAGGGACCCGACGGATCGTGAGGTCCAGCCCTTGTCAAGGAGGCCCAGTGGGGGATTTGAACTCCCAACCTCTGGCTCCAAAGACCTAAACCACTGAGTTATCCAGCACTTTGTTCCTAATACAAGATTATGCCATTCACACTGCCCCGCCTGCATCTACATATATTATTGATGATAGAACAATAGGAAGAATGCTATGGTTGTTTTATATTCATTGTATTATGTCCTTACACTGTTCGTTTTCGATTGGACATTGTGAAGCACTTCTTTCGGTCTTCTCTCTTTACAGTTCCTTTTTCTATGCACCTCTTAAGTGCATTTATAGTGTGTGTTTTTGCGTGACAACGTGGGTGGGAGAGAGGAGGCTCCTTTGAAGCAGAGCCCTGGAAAAGTTACTTTTCTGGAGGTTCACTCCAAGCCAGAGTGGCTGCAAAAAGTGAGAGAACCGCATGAGAGCTGCAGAAATGAAATAGATTCGAGGAGTGGCTGATGGGGATACAAGGCAGGGTCTTGTCGGTGGCAGCTCCCAGGATGTGGAATGCTTTCCCTGAGGAGATCAGGCTGTCCCTCTCTCACCAAAAGCTGAAAACCCATCTTTTCAGGCCGGTTTTAAACCATCACTGAACGACTTTTAAAAGTTAAGCTCATTTTTCATGTTTACTTGCTTTTAATTATCCAATTGCATTATAATCAGGATATGTTTAATTTTTTTCATGTTTAATTTCTGATATTTTTAATTCTATTCTTTTTAATATTCTGAGCTGCTTGGGGGCTCCTCTGATTTGGAGAAAGTCAGCCTATAAATGAAATAAACGAAAAAAATCAACGAATCTGCAAAAATTTGAAATACTCCCCTAGTAGCATGCAGTTTTGCACGTCGGTTGCAATTCAGTGTCTTCTGCGAGTCAATTTTTTAAACTGCTATTTTATTTTATTTTTACGTAGTCATGGAAATGACGGGAACAAACTCCACTAATCAAAAGGACCTTGTCTGCCCATATTTAAAGATCTTAGTTCTATATTACATAAGGTGTCCGTCCATGGATCTTGTAAAATTGCTTTTATGACTCACGCCGTTTCGATTCAGAAGCAGAACCAACAAACGAACCGATCGTGACACTCCACCCATGGAGGTTTCTTAGAAATTCCAGGAGTTTGAAAAAAAAGGTACTCCGCATTCGTCCTGATAACGTTTAAGCAAATGTTTGCTCGTATAATTTTATCAGTCGGACGGGTGTCTTATGTTTATCTCCTCACCTTCTGGTTTCCAAAGTGCCTCCAGCAGAGGTTGGCATGTCCCACCTTGGCTAGACCAAAAGAACATCCAGTACAAATGTGGCCACATCATGTTCTCTACGAGCAAGATAAGGTTGGGTACGGAAAGGTGGCAGAGAGCCACACGAGAGGGCTGAGATTCAGAGTCGCCCACTGTGATGTACGGCGACCAAGCTTTGTCAGAGCGCTGGCACCAGGGGAAGGAACTTTGGAGAGAAGCTAGAAGTCTTCTAGGTGGTGTAGATATCGGTAAGATAAACCGATCATCGTTGGTTTGCTCTATCAAACAATAATAGACTCATAAGAATCATAGAACGATTGAGTTCGAAGGGGCCTTGAAGACCACCAAATCCAACCCCCCCAGCTCAAGTCAGGAATCCAAATCAAAGCAGGTCTGGCAGAGGGTTGTCCCATTTTCTCTTGAATCCCCCTTATCAATGGAGCTCTTGCCACCTCCCAAGGTCATAGGTTCCGATGTCGTACTACTCTAACAGTTAAGAAGTTTTTCCTGATATTCAGCCTAAATCTGGCTTCCTTTAACTTGAGCCCATTGTGAAGTGTCCTGCACTCTGGGATGATAGAGAACAGATCCTGGCTCCTCTCTGTAGGACAACCTTTCACGTATTTGAAAAGTGCTATAATATGTCCCCTCAGTCTTTACTAAGCTAAAACTGGCTAAACTTGCCCAGGTTTTTCCATCTTTCCTCTTGGGGCTTGGTTTCCAGCCCCCTGATCCTCCTTGTTGCCCTTCTCTGAACTTGCTCCAGTTTGCTGGCATTCCTTTAAAAATGTGGTATCCAGAACAGTTACACGTTTCAAAAGGCCCCTTTCCACAACTAAAGCAAACCTTTGTGACTTTTTTTAAAATAGGAAAATCTAGGGTCCCGGGGGGTTTCCAGCTGCAAAATGTCCCTTACTCCAACCATCCCTTTTCGGTGTGCAAATCAAGGCCCCAGGTCTATGAAAACAGTGGCAATCAAAACTGTTGACCTCGTAATGTAGGGCTGATGATGGCAAGGGGTTGAATGAGAAAAAGTTAGAAAGGGGGGGGGGATCAGGAGACAGAGGGAATCCGATCCAACCACTGTCAATGGTTCATGCCTCATGCCCAGGATGCAGAAGGAAGAAAATGTTGAATTTAGGAAATCAGCTTGGCTGGCGCTTCTGGGTCATTTTTGGCTGAAGAAATACCAGTTGCAGGGAATTTTAATTCCTCAGACTTCCCTCTTCCTAGCTCTTACACTCTTCTCTTGTTTCTTTGGATTGCAGTCAGATCCTCTACAAGGACCAAACTCCAGGTGAAGGGCCAAGAGAGGCTGTTTGACCAGGTTCAGGGCAGGCTTGCTCCGGTTTTATCAGATTGTTCTGAGCCGACCGAAAGGCATCTCGCGAGCCGGCAAGGACCGGGTGCCAAAGGGAATGGCATCGACCGGTTCTTAACCTCAGGAGACACCGGGAGCAGGTGGAGCCTTTTCTCTTCTCTGTCCTCAAATTATCCCAAGAGAAGCGGGAGAAAAGGGCCCACACCCACAGAAAACTAGCTGTGCACCTGAGATGTTGCAAAGGTAAATAGGTGGGGTGTGCCCAGAGGCTAGGGTGAGCCCAAATCATCAGGAAAAGCTTGGAAAAGTTGCCTCGAAAAGATCATTTGGAAGTCACTCAATTAGAAAGGGAGAGGTTAAGAAACCTGCCTTTTATTTCTGTTTCTTTTCTAATCTTTTCCTCTCTGGGTTACTGATAAGCCCAGCCATGTGGATAAAGAAATAAAGAACAAACTGCAAAGAGTCCCCCCCCCACCACCACACACACAGATAGGGAGATAGAGAGAGAGAGATTTGGTGGCTGTCTGTTGTAAATATTGAGGCAAAGGGAAATATTTGTTGGCATTGATTTTTGTCTCTGTAGAAATACTTCCCGTGTGCAGTATCAGAATTAATCACTAGGGGGAGCTGGAGAGTATATCACTCTATTATTTTGGCAGGTTCATACCATGCCTGATGAATTTAATGAAGCGCAAGAAGCTGCTTGTAAAACCAGAGCGACATTAACACCAACTTCGCTTTTTGACAGAGTGAGTCATGGTCAAGAGATCTTTCCAAATGTAATGTTCTGAGCTCTGCTGTGGATTCTCATGCATGACATAATCAAGATGTCCTACTCTTCTGCAATGTCTTAGAAAGATATAGATTCTCCCTGATAAATTCTCCAAAGTAGAGATAAAGAGGGGAAAGCAAGCATAGCAAAGGACTGGGAAGTTACAGTAAACTATAGTTGCAATGCAAGCCTGGAATGATAGCTAAGGATTCTTCCAGGGGATCAAAAGCAGGGAGAAATGGAGTGATAGACGGTGGGACTCCCATGCCTTGTTTGAGGGTTTTCTATGTTTCAAGCTCTCAGAGGCCAAAGAAGGAGAGACAAGAACAGACAGTGGTGCTTGAATCTTAATCTACTTCTGAGAGTCAAAGGGTTTGAAGAATATGAGCATGTGTGCTTGAAACCCATCCCTTAAGGCAGTGGTCCCCAACCTTGGGCTTCCAGATGTTCTTGGACTTCAGCTCCCAGAAATCCTGGCCAGCAGGGGTGGTGGCGAAGGCTTCTGGGAGTTGTAGTTTAAGAACATCTGGAGGCCCAAGGTTGGGGATGACTGCCTTAAGGAACAGAAAGCTAATTGGTCCTCCAGCTCCTGAAATTCTGGTAGATGTGGATCATCTCTTTGCATCATACCCATGAGAACTAGAAACTTGGCTTTCATTTTGATTCAGTCCAGGTGCCCAGATTTGTTCAGAGGGACCTTCAGAAAGGTGGTCCGCACAGCCATGCCTTCTGTTTTGACACCTAGAACGGTGGTTCCCAACCTTGGGTCGAACTCCCAGAGGCCTTCATCATGAACTGTGCTGGTCGGGATTTTTGGGAGTTGTAGTCCAAGAACATCTGGGCACCCAAGGCTGGGAGCCATTGACCTCCACCATGGGGGATTCCTTTCAGGATCTGTTGGATCGACCCTCCTAGAATCTATGGGATCTGGGAGTTTGCAACCTCCTCAAAAACTTTTTGAAGCTCTAGAATCTACCCACCCATTCTTACTTTCCACTCATACACACGGCACCCCACAGGGGGCAGCTAAATCTGTTACCTGGCTCGGCAGGCTTCTCCGTCGTACTGGCAGGCATAAACCAGGTGGCTAATGCCCTTCTCATTGTCCGGAATGTCAAAAATGGACGGGACTTGGGACATGATGTTCATGTAGTGGAAACGGTACCACTCTCGAACGGCGTGCACGCCGGAGGAGAAGACCATGTTGTAGCAGTTGCCACCTGTTTCATTACACTGGAGGAAGAGGGACATTAGTGTGAGAAATGAGAGGAAAATGCCCATTGGAATGTAGGAATCAAAACATTGGTCTGCCTACTTTAGTACTGCCTGCTCTGACCGGCAGCAGTGGTTGTCCATGGTTCCAGACAGAGTTCTATCCTAGCCCAAGCCAGAATTCTATCCCGGGTATATTCTGGACAGCAGAAACTGGTGATGGCTTCTGCTTACTAGTCTGTCTCTTACTGGGAACTCTCCAAGGTGCTGAAAGCTATGCCCCAAAGACAATGGTTCCTAACCTTGTGTCCCCAGGTGTTCTTGAACTACAACTCCCAGAAGCCTTCAAAACTAGTGGTGCTCGCTGGGATTCCTGGGAGTCGTTGTCCAAGAACATCTGGAGGGACCTAAGTTTGCGAACCATCAGCCAAAGGAATTGGCCCCTGAGACAGCTCTTTCTAAGTTCAGATTAACTCCATGAGCTAGGCCCCCAATAAGAGAGAAGACTGTGTTGATTGCTCTGAAAGATTACGAGCTTGTGAAGGAAGAGGTGCAAACTCGAATTCAGCACCACAGACATCTTGAAATGCCCTTAGGCTCAGAGTCCGACACAGGAGGCCTTCTGACTAATTGGGCACAGCCATCAACTTTCTCCCCCTTTTGAATCTTTGAATTCTCTGGATGTTTCTGCCTCATTGAGAAGATTTAGGAGGGTTCCAATCTCTCCGGCTTTCCCAAACAGCACTGGCCAGAAGGTTCGTTTGCATTACAAATGCCAGCTCAGTCGCTTTTGTGTGAAAATGGCCGAGAGGAAGAGATTAACATCTCCTGCATGGAGATGCAGGATCTTGTGGCATGCATGCCGGTTCTCCACCCCTGTAGGTGCTTTGAAACTGGAATGTAAAAAAAAAAAACAGGGAAAAGGGTACAGGTGGTTAATGCAATATCCTGTCAATACAGTACTGGGCTTTTAAAAGGGAAGTTTGACATGGCATTGATGCTCTATGTGGGACCCCTTCGAAACTCTGGGGGCACGTTCTTCTCTTCCCCCGAATGGCTCTTAATGGCCAACTGGATGGCCTGTGCTTAATAATAGCCCATTTCTTAAAACCACAACACAGGAGCAGAGTTGACCCAGGCGGCATCGGGTGAGGCTGGATTTAACCTGGAACAGCAGTTACACAACAAAATGAGTCATACTTGGAAAGCCTTGGCTCTTCTTTTCTTTCTTCTTTTTAAAGATTGGGACTGCGGAGTTGAGGGAATGCCAGTGAAAGTTTTCTCTGAGTCAGATCCACCCGCGGAACCTCCCTCCTCGAAAAAGCGAGGAAAGGTCGAAAATCCAAAAGGTGTGTGTCCGGGGAGCCCAGGATCTTTAAAAGCCATCTTCCGTAAACCTGGCACCCTCCAGGCGGACTGAGGACATCTGCTCTCATCCACAGTCCCTTTGCACAACACCCGTGTTGTCTGGGGGGCAATGGGATTCGTAGTCCCTCTCACACCAGAGGGGGCCTGGAGGCTGCAAAACGCTTCCCTTCAATGTTAATGGCTGAAATCCTCGCAAGTCGCACTAGAGGAGGCCCACTGAGTCAGTGGGGCTTGGGTGAGTTCAACTCCTCTGTAAGTTCCATTGATTCAAATAGGCCTACTCTAGTTGTAACTGAATGGGCTAAAGTAAGTCACAATCGGAGTAAGTCCATGGAATGGAGGGGACTCAGGGAGGAGTTGAGTCACTGAATCCCCACTGACTCAATGGGCTTACTCTAGGGCAACTTTCTACACTAAGGGACAGGATTTCAGCCATTCTAAGCTCACTTAAGAAGCTCACACTGTGCCCAGTCCCTCAACATTTGCCAAGGTCCCAGCCAATCAGGGAACCAATCCTTTCTCCAGATGGTCTCTATTTCATTATCCCCTCCCGGGTTTTCCATTTTTCTCACTGATGCTCAACATTTTGTGACTGCCAGGCAAGCCCTGTCATCATGAAACAATAGCTTTTGGCTTTTGTTCATGCTTCCTACTAGCTTTGCCCCTCTCCATCTGAGTTTGATGGAACTTCTCAAGAACAAAGGAACAGCCACGACAATCAAAAGGCCAGCCACCAAGGTCCCTGTTTATCTTACCAGTCGGAAGCCTACTTTTCCATCCATTCTCAACAGGGCAATGTTACGGTCCAGATGGAAGCTGGAGCCATCGACCTTGGCTCCTGTCTGGTTTGACCAGTTCTCCACATGGATACTTTCATTGTCTTCCAGTTCTTTCTCCGGGATGGTGAAGCCATATATATTGTATACTGATTCTCTTGCCAGATTGTCCAGCTGGACCATATTTTTTGCAACTGCATCAACCCTGCAGAGAGGAAACCAACAGTAATGGGTTCTATGTGTATGTTCTGTTTGTATCAGAATTCGGGAACTGAAATGGAAGAAAAAAGGCAGCGAAGACTTTTTGATTCAGGCACGTTATCAGCAGCTGAAGGGTGGGTAAGGATGGAACCTTTAAATGCTGTTGATCTTTGGAGGTATCGGCAGATAGGAAAAATCTGATTGGCTGTGATCACACTTACAACAAATCAAGGAAGAAGGAGGTGAAAGTTTTAATCTGAACTTTACAGGAGCTATCCAATGTGCTGAACCCTATTCAGCACCTTGGGTAGCACCTGCAAAGTTCAGATTAAAATACGGAATGTATCTCTCAAAAATCAGGAGTCACTAGCTACCCCATTAGCTGCCCTCCCAGCCTGCCAGGGAGCCTGTCCCATTCCACCCACCAGGTTAGGAATTTACCTGTAGGGATTAAGACTGCAGACCGTGATAGCTGGGAACATTTTAGGCTCCGAGTGAACCGCGAGGGACATGACGACCGGGTACTCCCAGTACTGGTTGAAGATGAGGGCAAACTGCCAGTACAACATGGCGAAGCTGGCGAGGAAGAGGAGGGCCCAGAAGGCTGTCTTCATCTTGTTGCGGCTCGAGCACACCAGGCGGATGGTGCCATGGATGGTGGTGTTGAGGCAGAAGAATTCGAAAAGGTCCTTGAAGGAGCTATAGAATTCAATCAGGGCTGCGTCTTCCTCTTTCCTTTCTGGTTCCTTCTCTTTATTGGTGTGGTTCTCCATTCTCAAAACCTGGAACACATTTTGTAATTTTAGGCTAGGGAGAATTATTTTGCAGCATATGTTCACTCAATAAGGGTGTGCCCTTGCGTAGCATCCTCATTGTCTAGCCACCTTGCCTTTTCTGGATGATTGTCCTTTCCTTCCTTTCCCTTTGTTGAGAGATCCCTGATAGGCCATGAAGTGCAAGGCTAAATTCAGATCCCTGATTGGCCAGGTAATGCTGGTTTATGCTCAGATTCCTGATTGGCCAGGTAATGCTGGTTTATTCTCAAATCCCTGATTGGCCAGGTAATGCTGGTTTATGCTCAATCCCTGATTGGCCAGGTAATGCTGGATTGGCCAGGTAATGTTGGCCTATGTCCTTCCTAGAACTTCAGGGATTTGTTTGGACTAAAACTCTCATAATCCCCAAACTTTCATCCACAGCAATTTATTCTTTCTCTTTAGAAAGTCAGCATCTTATCCACTAGGGTGCTGGAGATGGACATCTCACATGCTGCAAGAGAAGGAAATATTGGAGCAGGATGTTCTGCTTACGGCGAGGGGGGAGTCCTTAAATTTCCATGACACACAACCGAGACCAAAACTCGAGATGTGGTGAAGCTGGATCTGAATGACTGGCCCCTTATCATCCCTTATCTTTACAACATGTTGCTATTCTTAAATGCCTTGCTTACAGTACCCTTCCTCCTCTACCGGGATGCTGGCCTGTCATCATCAGATGGAATGAGTGATAACATCTGATTCACAACGTCCCACTTCCTTGAGTATCTCACATTTCCAAAATTTCAGCAACACCTTTGAATCACAGCCGGGACTCAGCAACAGACACGCACCGGGCCCCGGTTGCAAAACCTGGCACTTGATAAAGGCTTTCCAGCACTTAATGGGTTAATTGGTTGGCGTTCTGGATGTTTTTGTTGGGCATATGAGAGCCCAGAGATTGTGGGGCAGTGGAGGTCATTTTGGGACTACAATTCCCATTCTCCCTGAGCTAGCACGAGCAGGAGATTCTGGGGTGGTGTAACCCAAATTGAATTCCTACAAATACATACACACAGACACACACACAAAATTTGTGGGATAAGGGTTTATTGCTGGATAGCTCAGCAACTTAGACAGAGGCTGGGAGTTTGAATCTCCACAGTGCCTCCTTGACAGAGGCTGGACTGGATGATCTATAGGGTCCCTTCCAGCTTTGCTGTTCTAGGATTATTATTATATTATTAAGATCATTTCTTGCATGCAGCAAGCCAAGGAAAGAATGTATGGGAGGGGGATATGGACATTTTACAGAGAAGACTTGAGTTTCAAAGATTCAGTGTTAGGAGTTGCTGACCCCTAATGGTTGCATCGGAATAATGCCAAACACTCAACTGTTCCTTGCATGGGGTTCAGCAAAGGTTTCCAAACCAAAGAGAGGCAGGAAAAAAATTCCAGAAGACAGTGCAATGTTCACCCTCCCCCCCTCTTAATTTGCCTTTTTTTTTTGCTACTTCTTAAGATAAAGTAGATTTTAATTCACTTTGGGGGGGGGGGGCTCAGCCTCTTCTAGAGAGGCAGGAAAAGAATTCCAGAAGACAGTGCAATGTTCACTCTCCCCCCCTCTTAATTTGACTTTTCTTTTTGTTTTTTGGCTACTTCTTAAGATAAAGTAGATTTTAATTCACTTTTTGTGAAGAGGACCATTATTTTTGATTTTTTTTAAAAAAAACTGTTATTTTTTGTTTGCGTGAAGTCTTTACGGTTTGTTTTATTTTATTTGTACAGGTTTCACAAAAGTTGGAAACTTCTGCCCCTTGCTGAGAAGTCTGGGGAACACTTTGGAAAGGTTTGCTGGGGGAGGTGGCCCACGATATTTTTCCGACTGAGGCCAGACATCGAAATAGCCTCCTGCCCACCCCCTGTTCAATGGTCTGGGTGCTCAATGCCAGTCATGGCGCTGAGCAAATACATATTTGCTACCCGAGGAAGAAAAGATTACATACACCCCTTTCCTTCCCTGGCAGTAAAGCAACACATGAAATAACTCCCAAGAGGCAGCTGCTTCACTCTCCTGAATGATAGAGCCGGCCCTGCATGCATTTTCTTACTCAGTTTCTTCTAATCTCTGTTTCCTTTTAACACACGGGAGAAAAATAGTTTTCAAAAAAGCAAACCCAGATGTTTCTAGATATCATAATTCTGGGAAGAACCTGAACATTCCTCTCTCTCCTTCCTTATGGTCCGAGGTTCTAACAGAGCTCCTTTTTTTTGGACTACATGTCCCAGCATGCCGAAACCGGCATGGCTCTTGGCTGGGGGATTCTGGGATTTGCAGTTCAGAAGGAAATGTTTCCAAAAACTCTGAAGACAGCAGAAGAAAACTGGCTTTCCTTCGACCCGAGAAAAAGGCATCTTTGTCTTTGAAAACGGTTTTGAAACCAGGAAGGGAAAAAGAGAACCTGGTGGGGGGGATCTCACTTCTGGGTCTCTGTTCTCTACAAATTTAAAGCTTCCTAATGTTTTTTTTAAATTTGTTTGGATTGTGGTGCTGAAGGAGAGCTTTGTGGATACTCTGGACTGCCAGAATGAGAAAGAACTGGGTCCCGGATCAAATCAAGCCTGAAAACTCTCCAGAGGCAGAAATGTCGAAACTGAGACCGTCCGGTTTTGGGCCCACCCTGAGAAGCCAGGATTCTCTGGAAAAGACAATAAGGTTGGCAAAAGTGGACGGCAGCAGGAAAGGAGGAAGTCCCAATAGGAGATGGATTTACTCCCTAAAGGAAACCACAGGCTTGACTCTACAAGAACTGAGAAGGGCAGCCGAGGACAGGGAATTTTGGAGGTTGCTCATTCATGGCGTCTCCATGAGTCAGAGGTGACTTGATAACATAATAACGACAATAAGCTTTTTAAGTCCCCCCCCCTTCCCCACGAACAATTCTGTCCATTCAGCGGCGGGTTCAGGTCCAGCCCAGAATGTGTAGAGTCAGAGATCTGACATAGCTAAGTTGCAGAATCCTGGACGGTGAGATTGCCTTCTGAGTCAAGGCCAGCCTCCAGCTGAAGCATTGCAACGTGTGCTCCAAGAGTGCTCCAGCCCATGTGCAGATCGACTGGTCGGACGTACTCACAAACCCCAGCCGCCGTCTGCACGGACCAGGTCGATCGCCTCTTTGCACAGCTTCAGAAAGCAGCTTCTGTAGCCTTCCAAAGCCTAGGAAGTCACTCAAAAGTAACTTTTCCAGCATACTGCCTGTTTGCAGCTCCCCCCCCCCCTTGCTTTTGTTCTAATGCCATCCCTTTCACTGCTGAGCCCCTTGTTTGTAGCTTTGACAGCTGGGGAGATGATGGCATCGGAAATTTTTAGGAACTGGAGGGGGTATCTGGAGGTCATCTAGTCTGACCTCTTGCTTTGGCTGGAAGGCTTCACTATTGCCTGTCCCAGCTATATGTTTAAGTGTCCCAGAACTATCAGGTATTGTGGCACCTTGCATTTTAAAAGTGAGATGTTTTAAGATGATGATGATGATGATGATGATGATGATGATGATGATGATGATGAAAACTAAATTGCATGCAAAGGTGTGCCTCAGATTCCAGCCCCTTCCAACAACTCTAAAAGTAACTAAAACAGTTATAGCTACACCGCAAACGTTGTGCTACTATCTGTCACTACGCTCCCAATACAGTATAGGAAGCAAAAAAAGGGGGGGGGAATTAAGGACATGTAACTAGTTACTTGGAATGAGTTACTCCCGAGCCCCGCATGCCGGGCAGGACTTAGGAAAGTGCCTTCTTGGAACTAAGTCCGGTTGAGTTCAATGGGGCTGAGTCTAGGTAGCTGAATCTTTCCACGTGACTTTGGCGCAGGTAGAAATTGGGATTTAGCCTGCAGACAAACGGGCGCGTTACGCCAGAAATGCTGGCTGTCAAGATGACACTCAGAAACCAATCCCAGCCAGTTCCGTGGAACTGGTTCTCGTGTCTGTGTGCTGGAAACCACAGCCTTAATGACGAGGAGCTGTAGGGTTTTCTGATCTTGCTCAGCAAAAATGTTCTGCGTGATTTGTGGCGAAATAGGAGGGAAGCGCAGCAAAGGACGTAGGGCCAAAGGTGTCGTGAGCTAGAACAAAAATGGTGGAGCTCACAGCCCTGCAGAGAAACCACGGAGCGTGTTTCTAGTCCTCATGAACTCAAGAGGGTGAAATATAATCAGAGCATCTTCTCGCATGTGGCTGTCATGTACGTGTATAAGTGGCTGAACGGGAGACAAACGGGGAGGAAATGGGAGAGAGAGAAGGACAGAGAGGGTCTTACCCGGGAGTTCAGTTGCTGATTTACTTTTGCGTAACGGAAATCTGAGCAGGCAGGATAGCTCAGTGGTTTAGGTCAGTGGTCCCTAACCTTGGGCCTCCAGATGTTCTTGGACTTCAACTCCCAGAATGCCTGACCTACAGAGGTGGTGGTGAAGGCTTCTGGGAGTTGTAGTCCAAGAACATCTGGAGGCCCAAGGTTGGGGACCGCAGGTTTAGGCGACTCGCTGCCGAGCCAGAGGTTGGGAGTTCGATTCCCCCACCAGGCATTCCAGAAGAACCAGCCTGGGTGGCCTTGGGGCAGCTGCACAGTCCCAGGGCGCCCCCTGGGGGAAGGAAGGGGAAACTACTTCTGAGTCTTCTCTCTACACCTGAAAAGGGTTGCTGTAAGTCAGAATCGGCTTGACAACCCATGATTATTATTGAAGGAAAATTGCACAAATTGTCACTCACTAAGGTTGTGTTCCTGGCCTGGACACCTGCCCGAGAATCCAACTGGTGCCTCACTTCCCACCCAGCTGCTCCGCCATCCTACTGGACTATTATATTTCATCTTAGACCTACAGAGCTGGAAGGGACCCTGCAGATCATCCAGTCCAGCCCCTGTCAAGGAGGCTTGATAGGGAATCGAACTCCCAACCACGCAGGAGACCAGGGGTTCAATCCACCTGAGATCTCGGACTATGCGTGTTGCTGCCAAAG